ACCTGTAGGGTATTTGTCATAATTCTAACACCTCTCTGGATGTTTAAACTTTGCATAGTGAGATTATAAATTTAAAGCTGCTCTATTGAGCTTTGATGCTTCAGATAATGCTGATAAAATTATCCATGGCTTGAGGTCAGTATTTCCATGTTGGTCAAACCTCAGGAATGGCATATATAGCTTGATCTTGCTACCCCCTTTTGTCCTGGGAATTCTTTTATTCCTTCCCATCGTGTTAAAGCTTGTCTCTAACTACACCAACAGGTTGGGAGCCAAAGTATATGACTTGAAACTGAAAATGGACTCCTAGACAGAGTTATTAATTTAACAGGCTGGCAAGCCAAGGATGGGTAAGATTCTGCATAGCCTTACCAACCTGAGACACATTTTATTCTTGAGTCTACCTTTATGACATCTTCTGGCAAAACAACTTAAACTATCCCCTTAAACTTTCCTCCTAAAATCATTTGACTTAAGTTAGGAAGTAATCAATTCATCTAAACAGCATTTAATTGAATGAAAGTTCATCTTCATGTTGATCTTCACGGTCAAATTTGTTCAATAGGTGGGCTGATACCCACGAATCATTAGGCTATGTAACAGTGACAGAAAAGGCACATCAGCAGTGAGAAGCAATCCTGAGACAATATCTCTGGGGCTGTGCCTCTCCAAAGTGCACTCTTCACAGACATGTAAAATGGTGGGCCATCTCCATGAAACTCACTTGTTTGTCATAGCCTTTCCTAGATAGCTTCTGTCAATACACAAATAGACATACTACACAAAGTACATACATATAACCACCTCAAATACAAATATACATACACAGACCAGGCAAAATTGACACATATATACACCTCATGAACACATACTAAACACTATATACACATATATATACAAACTTACACAAAGTATTTCTTGGAAGAATGGGGGAAGGTACCCCATAGAACATCTTTTGTTTATCCATGCCAATTTAACCTTCATGACAATCCCAGAGGCTCACCCCTGCTTCATCATTAACTAGTGCCTTGAGCATGGGAAAAACTCACTGTCTCCTTTGGTTCTCATTTCTGTAACTGTTAGAAAATCATATGAATTAATGGCTTTTGCCCAATCTATCAGCCTACAATTCTTTAACAGGTATAAATCTGGCCTGAGAAGATCCAAGCTATGGATTGACTATTGCTTCCCAAACTGTGCTGACTTGAGGCTGCTTGGTGCCATAACTAGAGCTGACCACAAGTTAAGTATAATGCTTACAAGGCACACAAAGCTAGAAAGCAGCCTTGTCAGTCGTTTGTGTGTTGGTCTGAACACGGTGGCCTGGTCATTTTCTCAATAATAGTTTTAGGGGAAGACTTATTGAGAAAGAACAAAAGTGTAGGTGCTCTTTGGTGTCACTGAGCAGAGGGACACAAAGATAAAGAGAGTAGAGGGAAAGACAAAGGTACTGAAAAGTTTTCAGGTAGACCTTACTTGACAGAATCAACAACAAAGCCCTGACAGAGTTTGGCCTGAGTCTTAAGTAACTCCAGGTATATGCCAAATGCCAAGTAATGTTGAAAAAGACATTTCTCCGGCCTGTAATTTGATATCAGTCTAAAAATGATAGAGTTAGATTTGACCACTTACAAACACCTCACCACTGTTAAAATCAATGCTTCTCTGACAGAAAGGAAACGTATGGACGTTGTTCAGTCTAGTACCAACTGTGCATTTACAATTCTCAAATGGTAACCTCAGCTCCAGGAAGTGCTAAGCATTTGTGTACATAGAAAAGTAAATTTTGTTTTATGTTTATTCAGGCTACAAAATAAATGTAGATGGCTCTTGCCTGTCCCTGAAGAAGGCACTGTAAGTGTGGTCAGTTGCCCTGTACATGTCCAAGGTCATAGAAGTCATTGCTGCTATTGCTTTGGGCTAAGACTGCTTAGAGAATCAGGGTTAGTTTAATCTATCAGACACTGCCCTGACACTATCAACAGCAACACATATACTTCTTCAGATACTTGTGCCCATATGAAAGTAACTTATCTCAGATCTTGTCTACATCCAAAGCAAGACATTTGTGAACCAACAGACAACAGCCAGTGATCTTATCCCAGACCCAGACTTGCAGGTTGAGTTTAAATAAACAGGCAAACAAGCGAGGAAAAATATCCCTTAGCACACAGGAGTAAAGTCATGTAGCTCATCAGCAGAAGTAAGCTTGCAACATCAGCCTCATTAGCACGGCCCCAGGGACAGGAGACGTCAAGTTACTGGATGGCAAGGATGTGATAAGAAACTTGATAATGCCCATCTGCTCCTGGGGTCAGGTCTGCCTCAAGCAGGATCCTGGCAATGCTCACATGCACGGAGGGGTTCATGTGCCATGAGTGTCCATGTGTGTTTAAAGGAGCTGTAGGTGGGACAGTTAATATAGGGCTTTCCTATCCAGGAAATCTATATCCCTTCCAAAGCCTGGACTTATTAAAATCTTGAAGTCTCTCACATCTGTTACAAGGCATGTATCATAATTTAGGCACATTACTGGGTGCTGCACTCTGGGTCTGAGGTTACAGGCATGCCAGACTCCTCTCACTGCCAGCCCAGGGATCATTACTACTGGCAGCCTTCAGGGCTTAAGAAGCATGATTCTAAGAAGAGCCATCATACTGGAAGGCTGTGAGCTGGCCAGCTGGGGTGGTCCCAACGGTGGATACCCCAAACCTCTCCTCTCAGTGTAACCAGAGCTCCTATGAAAGAAGCTGCCCCCTGAGGTGTTTCAACAGCTATAAAATTCCCCTAATAACTCATTCATAGTTCCTGTCCTCTGGACCACCACCATGTCGATGGAAACTGAGTTGGGTCCAAACAGGATGAACTAAACTTCTGTTCAAGCAAAAAACTTATCCCAGGGCTGAAGGGCTTTAACTGGACCATGGATAATGTTTTATTGCCCCAGCACCAGGGTGAACTCAGCCCCCTACACTTAGCCTCGCCTTTCACAATGTTATTTTTAGAATTCTCATTACACCCAGCTTAAACTAAAAATATGATTCCCAGGAATAGCAGAAGCAAGTTTTAATTGTGCAAAGAGAAACAAGTGCTCATGGTCTCTGATTACATATGATGTTTCATGTGGCTGGCCTCACTGTGAGAGACATGCTCTCTGACTGTTGGATTCAGTTCGTTTTGTTTTGCTTTTCCACCCAGCTTCTTCAGCACTGGGGTTGTCTCTACACGATGATGCTTGGATTTCTGATAACATGAAATAGAATCCCTGTTTAGGAAAGAAGTTCACCTCCAAGGAGTGTCCTTAAGCCATTCCAAACTATCCAGTGCTCGACAACCCCACACTGTGTGCTGTCTCTTACTGGGAGGCAAAGGCCGTGTGGTAGAAGAGCTTTGGGGTCTGACAAATGGCATCTGGGTCTGTACTTTGTCAACCTCTGGGACCCAAGGCACTTCTTAGTCTTCCTTAATCTTACTCTTCCATTAAAAACAATAGTAGGTAGCATGCTGATAAATGAAATAATTAACCTGTGCTGTAGAAGTCTCAAAAGTACCAGGTTTTTACCTAATTTTTATACTAGTCAAAAATACTAAGGACATTCTGGACACAATAAGATAGCATGAGAGGCTTATGTATGCATGCATTGGGCCCTAATGAAGCACATCTGGAAACATGCATGGCTGTGTAGCAAGCCAGCATGAAGTGCCACACTATGAAGTTGAAACCCAGCCTAGACTCTGAGATCACTTTTAAGGATGTGCTTTCTCATGAACTCAGGCTGGTTCTAGAAGAATCTCAGGACAGTCATACTTTCTGTCCAGTGTAGTTGGGGGCTAAATACATGGTGTCTAGGAAGAAGCTGTCTAAGCCAGAGCACCTACCTCTCTGCCTCTTATCTCCAAATTTTATACCTCACCTTCTGCAGCTTAAAAAAAATGCCTATGTTGTACATGGGCTGGACCTAGGTCCCCCAAACACATGTACCAGATGTGCAGCTTGGTCTTCATGAAGGTCCCTCAACAACTGGATCAGGGACTGTCCTTGACTCTGTTGCCTGCCTGTGGATCCTGTTTCCCTAACTGGCCTGTCTGGCCTCTGTGGAATCGGATGTGTCTAGACTTACAGTGACTTGATGTGCCCATGTGGATTGGTACATGGGAGGCCTCTTCCTTCTCAGAGAAGAAGGAGAGAGGGTAGAGAGGAAGATGCTGTGTGAGGAGGTACTGGAAAAAGAGGGGGGCTGCAATTGGGATGTAAAGCAAATAAATAAATAAATTGATGGAAGAAGAGTGCATATGTTGTCTCTATCTCCACATGTGGCCATGAGGATTAAATGAGAAAGGGTGATGTATGCATGCCTTCAGTCCTATTCTATACCCAACTGCTCAAAAAAGATGTACTTTTCATAAGATTTTAGGAAATGCATTATTGGTAGAGACAACTGCTTGAGCAGAGAGAACAGATAGATCAATTAAGGGATACTTGTCATCTTGACTGGCATCATATATGGTCTTGACTGGAATCAAGGGTGTATTTTGGGAGAAAGAGCACAGTTTCAGATATCTGCTCTAAGTAATCTTAGAAGTTGTGACCTGCTTTTCATCAGTGTGGATGCAATGTCTCCACCTGGTTCATGAGTTTTCTGAAGACAGGAACTTCCATTGGAAGCCACTCAGTGAATTTGTCAGTCTTATCTTCTCTAGGGTAGTCATTTCCTATCCCAGCCTTCAGATAACTCTAGACATATTGGTAGCTAACTTCACAGTGAAATGAGAGTACCTTTTCAGATGAGAAAAACATATTTGAGAGATTTCTGTCTAAAGAAGCATCTAGAGGTCTTGAGCATAATTTTTATTGTCTCTCAAATACAACTAACCTAGAAAGGAGCTTGGTCAGAATGGACAAGACAACCATGATGAACTTAGGTTGAGTAAATGTGGAATGGCGGAGGGATGCAGAATATTGAATTGGAGAGGGGTATGAGGACTTATGTCTGGCAGGGTCACAGGTGGGGCACGGGGCGCGGGATCGGAGAAACCACGGCTGCAGCGGTGCAGGTCTCGGGCAGTAGTGGGTGAGAGCATGGCACTTCCCAGGCCGGCGAGAACTGGAGTGAAGCAGCTGTCCTGGAGCACTGTTCGGTCGCGTGGGGCGGCTGGGCCTGAGAGGGTGGGGATCAGACTGGAGGGTCTGCCTCTGCCCCAGCCTCCAAAGGCAGACAAGTGTTACAGCTCTTTCGGTTCCTTCTCTTCGAGGGCAGCCTGGGAGTGCCTGCAGAGGGAAAAGTGTTACAGCTCTGTCCACTGCAGAGCGGGGAGGAGAGAAGTGTTGTTGTCCTTTGAAGTGCACAGGATAGCCAGCAACTGGCGAGGAAACGTGACAAAGCACTCCGACAGCTGGAAAGATCCCACACCACACACACCTCTTACTTTTGAGCTCTGGGGAGAGCAGGTAGCTCCTATTGGTTTGGTTTGAGAGCTTGGGAATGCCTTATTTGCATGGAGGTGTTATTCCTTCGTGATCAAGGCCATGGACCTCTCCGTGAGAGGGGCTGTGGGGAGCGGAAGCTAAGAGAGCCATATGGCTTTGGGAAAGTTCAAAGCAGCCTCCCGTCCTACTGGTCTTCTTCAGACCAAGGTTCCCAGGGCTTCAGATCTTTCTACCAAGCTTTCTGGCTTTTTCTCATAGCCCACTGCCCCACAGACATACATTAACAAAAGGCCCAATACATTTTCAAAGTCAGACTCTCGCAAGTGGTTGCAGGAACCAGTGGGGCACTGCAGTGTGCTTTCACTGTTTCTGAGCCTCCAGCTTCTCCTTCAACACCAGGAAACTTCCACTCTACTTTAATATACACAGAAATAAAACTCTTCTTTCAAAGCAGGCATAATCATTTCACCTACCACTGTGAATAAACAGTGGAGTAGTAGAAAATGAGGAGGAAGGAGAGGTACCATGTCAACCTCTCCCGGACTCGGATACCATCAGTCAGCCTGTGTTGACCCCAGATATGGCTGTGAGATCACAGACTGACCCTTCCACTTCAACTCTGGGCATACACAGCCTGAGCCCAGGAAAAGCCAGCGCTCCCTCTGGACTTGTCTGGACCTGCTGTAATCTTCTCTCTGCTTTTTCCACTTGGACTTCCAGCCCCATAGCCCACTCTGCCCCTCACTAGACAACATTTCCTACTTTCAACCTTGTCTGGGGATGTCTGGCAACTCATTACTTACGAGTTCAAACATAGCTCTGGGGTGTGTAAAAAGAAATACAAATGAATCAGGAGAAGGCAGATAGCTGAGGCCAGGCATGTCCAGCTGCCCAGCCTAGAAAAGAATGACCAACTAGGGGCAGCTTGGCTGGACAGCTGATCCTCACTAATCCTCCCATGGGTGCTCACTTTTCACCTACCTATGACCCACATGTTGTTCTTTACATTGCTGGCTCCATTTTCAAACCTGTCAACGGGCTTGTGAAAAGGTTACACACATGAACAAAGCCATGAGCAGCACCAGGAATGGGCTATGAGGAAGAAGGCGTGGAACCACAATGGGGCTACAGAAGGACCTGGGAAACTGAGTCAAGAAACTGTGAGCTTACCATTATCTTTAATCACAACCAAAATGAGACAGGCTTTAAGTCACTGTGCCCCTGTCTGGTAAGAATAGAAGGCTTGCTACAAATCCAAGATGGACTACACATACACATTTGTTGAACTATATTTATCAAGTTTCTTAATAGAAGGGGCTCAAAGGCCTTTGAGAAAAAACTCTTTTTGGTTTGTTTGTTTGTTTGTTTGTTTTTTGACAGTGACAGAAGCTAGCAACAAGCTGTTTACTATTTTTGTTCCGTTGCCAAGTGGGTGACTCAGTGAAAATAGGAACAGCATCAATTCTGTTTGTAGGAACACACAAGGTTGCTGTTTGCAGAAGTCCTGTGTCCCTAAACTTCTTTCCAACACTGAATCAAAGTATCTAAAATAAGATGGGCAGCAACATCACTAAAGAGACATTTGCTCAGATGGCCTGGCCTCCCTCCAAATCATCACACTGTCCTGCTATGTCGGGATAGCCAGACTCAGCCTTTCTCTAGACGTGCGTGTTCTGTCATTTTTTCTAACCCAGGGATTCTCAAGCTCCCTAATGCTGCCCCCTGTTAGTGCAGTCCCTCATGCTGTGGTGACTTCCAACCATCAAATTATTTTTATCACTTCTTTATAACTGTAATTTTGCTACTGTTATGAATCATAATGTAAATATTTTGGGAGATAAAGGTTTGCCAAAGAAGTCAGGGTGAGAACCACTGCAACCAGATCAGCTGATTCTGCCTACCCACCAAGTTCAAGGAACTGAAAACCACAATAGCAGGTGATGGTGATCTCAGGGTCACATGGCACAACTCCTTCATTTGAAGCTTCGGAGGTAGAGTGATCAGGTCTCCCGATGGCTTACTATGCTCATCAACGAACTACCTGATTCCTCAAGATAGAACTTGGTTTGAGAATTTTATATCTGACCAGAAAAGCAGTACAAGACAATGTAGGAGAACCATCTTCCAGAAGCTCCAAGGGCGGCATTCAGGGTCCCACTGTTGGCAGCATCCTCTCAAAGCTGAGAAACAGAACCTAGCCTTTCTCCCAGACTATAAAGAATTCAAAGCCCTTGATGAACCATGTAACAAAATGAGAGAAAACACCAAAACAACCCAGAGTCTAATGAATAATGCAATAAGCAAGGGAAGAAATGCTCATTCTGGAATTTCGGAAGCACTGTGAATATTTCAGGGTAACATGATATTAATTGGACATTTTCACTGTGGTATCAGAATTTAATAATCATCAGATATAAATAAATATATGGAAAAGGCCATCTCATCACAACTTCACCTTCCCGTGGCCTCTGTCTGAAGGAAACTATACTAAGAATATATGATTCTCAAAGAGGGTGAGATGAATATCTGAACTTCTCTTCATGGTCTTAAGACAGTGGTTCTCAACTTTTAATGCTACAACCCTTTAATATAGCTCTTCATGTCGTGGTAATCCCCAACCCAACCAAAAAATTAGTTTTGTTGCTACTTCAAAACTGTAATTTTGCAACTGTTATGTTTTTTGTTTGTTTTGTTTTTCGAGACAGGGTTTCTCTGTACAGGCCTGGCTGTCCTGGAACTCACTCTGTAGACCAGGCTGGCCTCGAATTCAAAAATCCGCCTGCCTCTGCCTCCCAAGTGGGCCACCACTGCCCTTTGCAACTGTTATGAATTGTAATGTAAATATCTGTTTTCCCATGGTCTTAGGCAACCCCATGAAAGGGTTGTTTAACACAAGTCCCCTAAAAGGGGTCATGACCCACAGGTTGAGAATTGCTGTCTTAAGAGAAGTCTCAAAATTGTGACAGCCACAGTTTCTGTCTTACCTGATTTTCTATGGTGGGATAAAACACCCTAAGAAGACCAACATAAGGAAGGTGTGTTTTCACTCACAGTTCGTCGGTGTGCTCCATCACAGTGGGGGAAGTCAGGGCATCCAAAGGTTTCAGCATGTGGTCACATTGCATCTGCAGTCAGGAAGAATGGAACAGTGAAGCTTGTGTATAGATAGCTTTCTCCTTCTGAACCAGCCAAGACTGGAGCCCAGGAAACAATGCCACCTTCTGTAGGCTTGCTTTTCCTACCTCAATAAACTTAACCAAAATCATCCCCCACAGGCATGCCTAGGGACTAATTAATTTAAACCATCTTAGAGGCTTGTCTCTTAGGTGATCCTAGAACGTATCAGATTGACTGTCAACACTAAACATCATATCCTTCATACTCAAGGGACTAATGAGAATAAATGCCTTTCTCCTAACCAGCCATCCTACACTATGAGAAATAGCCAAATATAGGAGGGGTAACAACACTAAGTGGTTTCCCTCCTTGGATTCGCCAAGGCAACGTTCTCATAGTATTTCCAAAGATCACACGTGGGCCTTTGTCAGCAGAGTCTCACAAACACCAATGAGGATGTGTCACCACTAGCACTAGCCTGAAGAGTCTCTCAAATCACACTGTTGGCAGGGACAGTCCCAACAGTAAGCAGAGGCCTTGCAATAGAACAAGAAGGCACTTCAACCTTTCTAATGGTTATCAGTCAGAAGGGTTAAGCTCCCTTAGACCAGAAGCTGAAATGGGGCTACTCGCACAGTGGCTTACTGAGGGAGTGCTTCCAGGGAAAGATGAGACAGGGAGACCAGCAACCAGGATGATGGGGTCAGAGGATGCAAACCAAGGCTTTGGACTCTGATAGACTCCTCCCTGATTCCACTACAAGCTCTGATATATACTAGAGTAAGGGGGAACAGGGCTTTTTATTTCTTGACAGTGACTCATTGGTTGGGACATGTAGTATAGTTGAAGGAATTGAAGCAGTAGAAGAGGGATCTAAGGGAGAAGTAAGGTTGTCATCTAGAAATGGACATTTCTGTTCTCCCCAAGGGGGTCAGCTTTAAGGTGCTACCATCCTATACAGCATCTACTACCAGATATAAAAGGCTACATTGGCATGAGATCTACCAGGTCCACCCTGTCCACAAGGAGCTTTTTAATTCTCCTGTTCCATTCCTCTCCACTAGTGAGGGAGGAGCTCACACTTCCTTTCTGAAGGGTAAATCAACTCACCTATATTGTGAGGTTACTATACCTACAGTGACACAACATGATTAAAAGCAAGTTGGGAAGAAAGGCTTTATCTAGCCTACACTTCCACATCACAGTTCATCATTGAAGGAAACCAAGACAGAAACTCAAACAAGGCAAGAGTCTAGAAGCAGGAGCTGATGATGCAGAGCTCATGGAGGGGTGCTGCTTACTGAATTCCTCATCATAACCTGGTCAGTCTGCTTTCTTACAGAACCTAGGACCACTACCTCAGCAGTGGCATCACCAATGATGGGTTGGGTCCTCCCCCATCAATCAATAAGAAAACGGCCTACAGCTGGATCTCATGGAGGCATTTTCTCAGTTGAGGTTCCATCCTCACAGCTTTTGTCAAGGTGACATAAAATCAGCCAGCACCACTGCTCCCTGGTAAACCTGACAAACATACCACTGTTAATTCATAACTTTTTCTTTCTCATCCCCCCCCAATCACACGTTAATACCAAAATCGCAATATAAAACACTATAAATATTTTTAAAATACCAACATTAAAAAGACTCATAGTCTTTACAAATCCAAACACTTTAACAAAATTTAGTCTCTTAAAAAAAAAAAACCGAAGTCTTTTTTAAAACCTAAAGTCTCTTTAAATGTTTAATTTCTCAACCTTGGGCTCCTATAAAATCAAAACTAGGGTATATGCTTTCTTCCTTCAAGAGGGAAGAACCAGGGCACAATTACAATCAAAGCAAAGCAAAACTAAACTCCAAAAAGTGTAAATAACACAATCTTCAATGATCTGGGATTCACTCAACCATCTTCTGGGCTCCTCCAAGGGTCTTGGTTCGCTCCTCTGGCTCTGCCCTCTGCAGCACACACAGTTTGTCTTCTAGACTCCGGCTGGCTCCACTCCACTGCTGCTGCTGCTGTTCTTGGTGGTTATCTCATAGTACTGCATCTCCAAAATACTGGGGTCTTCTGCCACAACCGGGCTTCACTCTCACCAACAGCCTGTCCTGGGCTGTCCTCATAGTACAAAATCTCAACTTCTCTTCATGACCCCTTCAATTCCGGGGCTCCCACTGCTACTCCTGCTGCACTTTCAATGGCCTTTCCTGGTCTCTCACAGTGAGCCTCAGCTGCTCTCCGTGACCCTTTAATTTCTTCAAAACCAGTACCGCCTGGGTGACACATTACCAAGTTTGGCTGCCAGTATGAGGTACAACCTTGGCCACCTCTGGAACACAGTTTCTGTGTGCTGACTCTCATGAAACACTTCCTAGAATATTTCACCTCAGTGATGCTGGGTTCTTCTTAATCACTGTTAATTTCTCAGCCCCAGCTGACTAGCACTGATTGCCCCAGTAACTCAAAGTTTTCACTTCAATGATGCTGGCGTCTTCTTAGTCACCACTGACTCTTCAGCCACTGTTTACTGGACACCAAGCTTCTTCATATAAAAGTCCAAGTAGAGCCTTGCTTCCCTCTGAAACTTCACAAGCCAGGCCTCCATCGTCTGCACTGCTCTCAACAATCTTATCTTCCAAACTCCTACTGAACAATTCACTGAATTTTATACTCCTTGGCTTTTCTAGTCCAAAGTTCCAAGGTCCTTCACAATCCTCCAAAACACATGGTCAGATATGTGACAGCAATATCCCATTACCCTGGTACCAACTTGTCTTAGTTGGGGTTAATACTGCCATGATGAAAAATAAAATTAGGGAGGAAAGGGTTTATTTGGCTTCTACATTACAGTTTATCTCTGAAGGAAGCCAGGGCAGGAACTCAAACGGGGCAGGAACCTGGAGCCAGGAGCTGATGTAGAGGCCTTAGAAGGATGCTGCTAACTGGCTTGCTCATCATGGCTTGCTCAGTCCACCTTCTTATTCCACCCAGGGCCACCATCTCAAAGATGCCACCATCTACTGTAGGCTGGCTCCTCCCCAGTCAACCACTAACTAAGAAAATGCCCTACAGACAGATCTCATGGAGGCATTTTCTCAATCACTGTTTCCTCCTCTTGGATAACTGTAGCTTTGTCAAGTTGACATAAAATTAGCCAGCATAACCTACAATAGACCTAGCTGGAGATGGAAAGAGTCTTAGCTTTGGTTGAAATGCAAAGCTTTAGTTAACTGGTGCAAAATAAATATTTTTAATGTTTGATTGAAATATTATACAAGAAAATAAACAAGGACACTTAATAGAGCTCAGTAACTCTTTTGCAAACTGCACCTGTAAAATAGTGCCCATAATTAAGAAACAGAAAGTCTCTAGCAACCCAGAGCTCTCTTCATACCCATTTCCAGACTCTTCCATCTCAGCTGTACCACAAACAACAGCTTAGTGCATTTTGCCTGTTTCTGTTTTGTATATAAATGGAATGTTACCTTTTGCATACTTCTGTGTCCAGCTCCTTTCTTTCAACATGATATGAAATGAGTCATTCACGAGTCTGTCATCCATGTAGACTACGTTTTTGTTTGTAGGATTCTTTGGGTGGCCTAATATCAGTTGACTTTGCCACTCTGCTGTTGGTAGGAATGTGCTCTGCCGTCTAAGTTCATCACACACAGTGGGCTTTAAACCCGTCAGTACATCGAATGTGAAGGATCAGATCACTGTGTACATGTCTGTCTTCTAAGTACTATGCACCAGGAAGTGGAACTGTTGGGGTTATAGAGAAAAGTGTAAATGTGTGAATGTGTCAAATACTCCCTAAAAGTTCTTAAAATCCGAGTAACATTCACAATCCCACCAGCAATAAAGCCTGTTTTAGCGGATCTAGACTTTTGTTCTCGTTTGGTATTTCCTTTTGTTTTTCTTCTTCTTTTTTTTTTCATTTGGAGCTGGATTAGTTAATCACTGAATTGAGATTTTATGGTTCACAGTATATTTAGGGCTTTTAGTGGCTCAAGAATGTACAAGTAGAACCTGGAAACCTTTCTGGTTGTTCACATAGGATGAAGGAAGATCTCTACAGCCAAGTAAACATAAACCTGTTTCTTCCAGTTTCATGATACGTGCTTGAATCTTTTCATTTCACCCTTCTGATAACATCAGGCCTTCTTGTTAGTAGCAAAGATTTTTTTTAATTATGTGTGTATACACACACACACACACACACACACACACACACACACATATATATATATATATATATATATATATATATATATATATATGCATGTGCATGGACATATAATATGCATATGCTATACATACGCTATACACACAATACATAATACACATATGCATCTAATATACATACAACATACATATAAATGTAATATATGTATTGTTTATATCTCTATATATAATACATATGCATATACATAGAAATAGACATGTAATGGGCATATAATCTGTATATTTTAATATTATGCATGCAATACATATATGTATATTATACCCAAATATGTACATATATACATATATGCACATGCATATATATATATGCATATGTACACATGAATATGCATAGGCATAGACATGGGGGAGGTTATGCACATGTGTGGTGCCCACAGGGACCAGAAAATGGTGTTGAATCTCATAGCACTTCGGTTACAGGGAGTTGAGAGCCACCCAACATGGGTGCTAGGAACCAAACTCAGTTCCCCTACAAGAAATGTTTTCTCTTAACCACTAAACCATGTCTTCATCACGATTATAGAAGCAGAGGGAAGAATCCTTTATGAATGACGATTTTTAAAAATTGTACTCTAAACCTCCTCATCTTAGTAAATGTAGGATTTCTGACTGTCTGCAGCCACACTTAATCTTGACACTTGTCCGAGTAATCTCAGAAGTCCTACTTCAGATTGTATTGCATAAGAGCCTAAGGAGGGCTGTCTGCATTAGAAAAGTAGGTAAGAGTGCTGGGTCATTACTTCTGATAACAAAGAAGTTAAAGAAAAGAAGGAGGGTCTATATGTTTAGACTTCTTGGCACCCTTGTTCATCCTCACCACCTTACTCTCCAAAGGAGCACATGTACACGGAGAACACACACACACAGCACACATACAACACACACACATACACCACACACACATATACCATACACAATACACACAAGCCCTATACTACACACATGTACACACACAACATATAGTATACACATACACCACACACGCAGTATACACACATATATCACACACACATACAACACACACAAACCATACGCCACACATATATATACACACATAACACATACACAACTCACACACACATAAAGCACTACTTAGACCTGAAGCACTCCCCCAGAGCCCAGTCCAACTAAGAGTGTTAGCACACACCTATAATACCGACACTCAAGAAGGCTGGCTAAAGCAGGAATGTCTGAAGCTCAAGGCCAGGTGGGGCTGCAAAACAAGGCCTTGTCTCCAGATTTCAAATGTAAAAAGATTCCAGTTGATGGCTGAGCTGCATTCTAGCCTCCCCATGTCTCCACTTATAAGTGGAGTCTGCCTGCAATTGCTGCATAATATAGGTCCTGCATTGGGACTCAGAAGGCAAGCCTAGCCCTCTCTTTAATTTCCAGCCAGTTGTTTGCCTGAGAATGTGGGGAGTGCTAGGAAGCCAGGTCTCTGCAGAAGCCTTTGGGGAATTTTTCAGTAAACATGTCATTTTCTAATTGGGGCTATTTGCTGCGGTCCTTCTGCCTGGCTGTCCCCATGAGTGAAGGTTATAATTATAAGCGGAACAACAGTGTTTCCATTGCAGACTCCTCAGTGACTTCCCTGATTCATTGCAAATGAGCGACAGACCCCTCGAAGTGGAGGTTTGAGGGAGCCTTTCACTGAATATAAAAAGAAGATCTGTAGCAATGGCCTTAATAACGACTTGTGAGTGGCAAGATATGATTTGTTGTTCAGTTTTATTTTAATGTTATATTAAAAGACAGAACAAGGAACTAGGAGCCAGGCCCTGTCTGTCTGTCTGGTGCACATCTACCCACATATGGCTTAAAATCTTCACTTTGAAAAGTATGTCAGTATTGGGCTGCCAAGGCAGCTCAGTGGATAAGGGCTCTTGCAGACAAGCCCTAGATCCTGATAACCATAATCTGTATTGCAGAAGGAAAGAACTGCCTTCATCATGAGTAATGGAGGTGAATATGATAAAAATATATTGCACATATATATGAACATGTTATAATGAAGTTGTCCTCTGACTTCCACACATGTGTTGTAGCATGTGTACACACAAACCAACACACACACATACACACACACACAAAGTTAAGTATATCAATATTGCTTGAATGTTCAGCCACAACTGAAAGTGAAAGCCTAATGCCATATCCTCCAAGGTTCTAGAAATTACAGTAGAAGATGATCCTGGAAGAATGTGAGAGCCAGGAGAAGGGGTGACATGTTTGGGAACTCTGTCTTCTGCACCTGGCATGAGCATTGCACTCTTGAATTTACAGCATCTGTGATTAGTTGTACATGACTTGTACAAAATTGGTCCCATCAACACATCATAGAAACAGACAGGGGTTACAAGATCCCCTGCCTCTGAGCAGCTACGGACAGTTAATAGTTTCTGGGAGAGTGATAGACATTTTATTCTATTGAACCTATAAATGCCCCTCACCCGTGTTCCTGGAATAAGACCCATTGATCACACACACACATACACAAAATAAGGGGCATGAGAATAGAAGAGGGACTAGTCAACAAGACTTCCTACAACTGGAAAAAGAAGAGAGTCAGGAAGAGAAGAGAGACAAGAGAGAGTAATGGGGGAGAATATGATAAAAATATATTGCATACATGTATGAACATGTCATAGTGAAACCTATTACTATGCATAATTAGCATATAATAGAAAACGTTTTTATAATATGTCAATATTGGATAATCACATGGCTCCTAACAAAATTGCTGAATGGGAGACTAATTGTGAATATCAGACAATCTAGCAAAGAAAAATGAAGTAACTAGAAGTTATTTGATGTGGTGTCTTGAATGAGAACGGCCCCCATAGGCTCATGTATTTAAATGCTTGGTTCCCAGTTGGTAGAACTGTTTGGGAAGAATTAGAAGGTGTGGCCTTATTGGAGGAGGTATGGCCTTATTTGTGGGAATGTGTACCTGGGGGGGGGGGTTGCTATGAGATTTCAAAAATCCATACCAGGCTGAATCTGCCTGCAACTTTGGGACCAGATGTGCACTCTCAACTACTGCTCCAGCAGCATGCCTGCCTGCTTGTGGCCATGCACCGCAGCTGCACCATGACCATAGACTTGAAACACTCTGACACTGTAAACACGCCCTCAATTAAATGCCTTCCTTTATAACTAGCCTTGGTGGTCTCCTCACAGCAATAGAAAGTAACTAAGAGACTTGGCAAATTTGTTGTAATGTGGACAAGTGGCTGAGTTAGGACCCGGAGGCAATGGTCTACCTGACTCCAGGAAAAGTAAGAAGTTCCATAAGCATATATTAACCTGTATAACTCTGTGTGGAGTAAATCACCCTTAGGAGGGCTGATCTATTAAGGGAAGATCTTATTAGGCCCCTTTGTTGTCTTCCATTCACTGAAGAGCTTAAGTCACTTGTGGGGAGAAGAAACCCACCTCTAGTCAGTCAAAGTTTACGTTCCTTCTGTTCTCTCAGGAGAAGAACAGGTGGAGCTAGGGGCTTGGGTAGAGCAAACCTCGGTGCATTTCATAGGGGAGAGAGTTCTCTTCAGAAACAGCCTCAGAGTAACAAGGAGAAACTTTATATGAGCCAAGCAAATCACCAGGTGCCCAGAGGATAGCTGCTAGTGATGCTGCTGCAGGGCTGCAGTAACAGTTGCTGCAGGCTAAGGCAAGACTGGTCCCCACTTGTGAGAAGCAGTAGTTCCATTCAAAGTCTATCATTTCAGGGGTGAGGAGAGTGGGATTTAGGAAAGTGCCTTCCCTCAAGACAGCAATCAACTGTCAGTAAATGGTGCATGGACAGAATATTTAACACTCCAAACATGGACACTGACTGCCTCCCTGGATCTTTCTCACATTATGCCTGTGAGAAGTGCTATTTGCCACCTGTCTCATTGTTGCCATCAAGTACCTGACAGAAATACCTGGGAAAGGGTTTATTTTGGCTCACAGTTTCAAAGGCTGCTTCGGTAGTTGCCTGACTCCATGTGCAGCGAGACCTTGTGGTGGCTGGGGAGAACCCCACACTATGAGTCAGATAGGAAACAGAGGAAAACAAAAAGTGTCCAGGAATGGTCACCCACAGAGTGACTTCTGCCAGCTCTGCCCCTCATCTTAAGTTCTTGTAGCCTCAGCAAACAGCACCTTTACTTGAAATTCAAGAAGTATTCCAATCATGAGCCTGTGGATGACATCACATACCAGTCATGAGCCTGTGGATGACACCACATCCTCACCCCATACAAGCTCCCAAAGGCTGTCAATTCTGTTGGGTGATAAGCTTAACCTCTTTGAACCTATTGTCCCATCAGCAAAGACAGAATAACATGAACTACAAACAAAAGTTTGCAAA